ATCTTCGAAGTCTTCCTCTTCGTCAGAGAGAAGAAAGTCCGATTGCCCCTCTTCCTCAAATTTGACCGCATCCTCTTCCTCATCCGTGCTGAGCAGACTGGAAAGAGGCATGCAGCTAAGGAGCCATCAGAGCCTTTTGAACTGCTACTCTTCGCGCCAAATGTATAATCTGTTAATTTGAAGCATTTTACAGCATCTACCTCTAATGCTTTTTTTTAACGCATAACTGTTCAGCTCTACCTTTTCTTTTCTTCCCCTTTTCATCCATGGACAATTGTTTGTAATTATCTGCTCAGAGAAGTTCGATATAAAGGATCAATCTCTCTCTCTCTGTAAATTAAGCCTGGAACACATCAAGCCGACGGTCGGCCGTCTGACAGTTTTTGTGCGTCGGCCGACTACGTTTTCTCAGTGTGTTCAGCACCGTCGGGTCCTCGTCTGCTTTTTTTTGGCCGATTCGACATGTCGGTGAAAGAGGGAACTCTGATTGGCTGTTCAGCTTGAACGAGTCAGTGCACTGCACGAGAATAATAGCAAAACAGCAAGCAAAGAAGTCAAAATAGCACAGATAGAAGGCTGTTCTAATGTTACATCATATTACCTGAGTGTTCCTTGGCGAATATTTAAATATTAACATGAGAGGAGTAGAATAAAGAAAGTGTTTTGCAGGATTGATATTCAGAGCGGTAAGCACGCACTGCTTTCTTTACGGAGTGTATCTGCAGCCGGCAGCGTCGGTTTCTCTTTTTGAATGACGAAAATATCTGCAGAAATAGACAGTTGTCTCATTTACACGCAGGCGCAGAACGCGCATTCTAGCTAACAGTCGGCTGTAGTTCTCTCGGTGTGTTCAAGTGCAGCTTTTTTCCCGCGACACCGGCGACGTGGCGATGCGAGGCGACAACACAGTCGGCTTTCATCTTCGCTAGTTCATCGGCCGGCGTTGGCTTGGTGTGTTTCCCTTCCAGGACGTGAAAGAGGGCGTGTTTCAAGATACGCAATGGAGTAGACCAAACTTAACAGGGAGGGAGGGCAATACACTCACATGCATGCACACGAAACACTCCTTGTCGGCCGCGCCCGCGCGATCCATTCACTCATCCATTTGCGTAGAAAAGAAATGTAATATTATGATTTCCGTAATTTTTTTATATATATTTTGTTTTATATGTGTACCGGGCCGGCCCACATTGGCCAGCGGCCCACCGGGAAAAGTCCCGGTGCTCCACATGGCCAGTCCGCCCCTGCTCCAGGATAGAGCTGCCATGGTGGGCAGTTCTACAGGAATGAATACCTGCGGAGTGGCAGCTGGTGCATGGGCTGGGAGACATGAGGGGATCCTGGCCCGACAGGCTAGCTTGGCGTGCTAGCCTGCGACGAAGGCTCTTCGTGGTGAAGCGTGCGCAGTGTTCACACGTGTCGGGACTCTCGATCGCCAGTTGAGCATGTTTCAGCCCGAGACATGCAGAGCAGACCTGGTGTGTGTCCTTGCATGAAATCTTGTTCCCGCATGAACAGAGTCGCACAGAATCTCCCTCACTAGCCTGGATAGTCTGCATTGCTGCAGCCATCATAGTATCGAACAGTCCTTGCAATCGGCTGGAATGCAAATCGAAGGAGCCAGACGAAAAACGGCGTGGTGGCCAGTAATTCGTCTAAGAGTTCGTAGAAAGTTTCAAAGGCTTCTAGGCTTCTGGTGTGAAGCGAGAAGAGGTTTTTGAATGTCGTAATGACGTTGTGCTGCTCCTCTTATACGGAGGGGTGGGGTAGCCACTCCCAGACACAGCGTCATGTCTGCCAGCCAATTGGGGCTGGCGTAATGTAATAGGGCTTCTGAGGAATACGCGGAAGGGGCGCATCCCACGTTTTATTCTCCCTCAACCCCCACACACAGAGTGAGTGCATTACCGCCCGCGCTCCCTTTTATGACGTCATCACCCAGTTACGGTAAAAAACATGCTACCTTTGAAGAAACCCCAATAAATGTTATTTTAACGCATTTTAAGACAGAAATTTTGAAATGTATACATATTAAGCACTTTAATTTACACATTAATTGGTTATGGTGGTTAACCTGCAATTTACACTTTAACATCACTCTGAGTAACATGGATAGTAAATGGCTTAAATGTCTCTGGAAGTCCTTTCAAAACCATTGCTGTCAAAAGTTCGTCACTCAGATTCTCATCTGCATTTCTCAAAGCAGTGATTGTAGTCTCAGCTCTGATGACGTACTCCATAACACTCTCACTTGGCAATTTCTACAGTGAAGTTAGCTCTGTATACAAGCTTATTACCCGGGGCTTCCCTTTGCCAGCATAATATCCACGTAAAATCTCCAGCGCCGCACGTCCATCATCTGCTGCTTCTCTCATGACCAGCGACAGGCTTTTGTCATCCAGGAACTGTATCAGCTCAGCATAGGCTTCGGCGTTTTTCATCTCGTCTTCCTCATCTTCGACAGAAGGTTCATTTAAAATAGTCTCTTTTAGTCCTTGCAAACAAAGGTGACCCAAAAATTTCGTCTCCCATAGCTCATAATTCTTCTCGTCACCGTCGAAGACAAGCTATGACCAGCGGCTCGTCGATACCGCTGCTTTTGTCTTTCTGCTCATATTTGTAGCCCCATGTCTTTTCACTCACAAACTTAAACTCGGGTACACGCGTTTTCGTTTCGACTTTTACCCAGCGACTTAACACCCGTATTCTGGGCCCATAACCTGTTAGCAGAGTAACTTAGGCAGACAACAGGGAATACTGTTTCACATCAACCAATCTCTTTCTGATTGGCGCACTTTATTTAAACAGACACATGTGCATTCATTCAGTCACTGATTAGGTCACATGACATACACTCTGCAATATGATTGCATGGTTCAAAAATAAAAAAATTAAAAATAAATCAAATATAAATGAGAGCACAATATTTATAAATCTCAACAAACAATGTAAAATATGTGGGTTTTTTGTACATTCAAGCATTAAAACCTATTCTAGTATCCCCCTAAAAACAAAATCAAGCCATTGTAAAAGGGCATAATAGGTCCTCTTAAATACCTTTGCAGGTGTTGTGAACTATTTTCTTCCAAAGTGTAGAAAAGTCAGAAGCGCAGACCAGGAGACGTTGAGGTATCTTTCAAGCAGAAGTTCTTTATTGCATCGCTGTAGCATCTCAATCTCGTCTGACTAAGGGCACTTTTACATTGCAATTTATACATTTAGGGGGAGGGATTTACATAGAAGTGGAGCAAACTCGTATACAGGTTTAGGAAACCTGTATTGAAACTGAGAGTGATAACTTATTCAAATACTGAGACTCAAGAACAGGAATGCCAGGACTCTCTCTTGCTGAGACAAAAGCTCACGAGAGTCCCCAAGAGTTTCAGTAATCTGTTTCATTTAACTTACAATAGAGAGAAACGGGTCTGGCGGCTGTATAGAGAGAAACAGAACAGGACAGGAATCTCATGCTCAACAGCTGAATGCTAAATTCAATCTACAGAACTTTCTCAGTTTATATATTATTGTACTGGAACCTAAATTAAACATTTAAAGTGTAAATTGCAGGTAAAAATTTTCATGAAGATAATGCAATGTGCTTACTAAACATAAAGATAAGAACCGCCCACCATTGTTTTTATATGTTTTTTATACCAAAATGCTGAATATAATATGAAAAGTTGGTGCGTTTTACAGTGCTTTTAAGCACGCCCCCTCCCTTCCACTAGGCTGGGCGTGACGTCATAACAGGTACTCCAAGCTACTCTGTCTATGGTCCAGGCCTGGAGTTACGTTATATTGGAGACCTAGCTAGCAAAAATGGTTAACTATTGTGTTTGTGCGGGATGTACGAATACATCAAAAACTGGGGAGAGGCTCCACAAGTTCCCCAAGGACAAACGGCTGATTCGTGCCTGTAAGTGTTAGCATAACTTACCCGAGGTAGAGCTTAGATCGGGCCCAAAAAAATCAAGCAAGACCCTACCCGAGCCCGCTGTGTCCGAGTCCGGTCCGGCCCTCTCTGACACATTAACTGTAATTATGAGCCCGGTTTAAACCCGACTATTTTTTAATACGTGGGTTGTTATAACTGACGTTCTCAACTACTTTCTATATTACTTTCTCCCGCCCGCAACATTTATGTTTTGTCCCGCTCCCACCCGCAAAAAGACCTTTTTTCTGTACCTCCAAATACTTTCAAGTTAGCCTACGTGTCGCCACCATACACATCGGAATACATGCTCCTGATCACTGTTATAACATAAAAGCAAGCGGGCTACTGCGTGCATAGTCTGGCATGACTGCGCGCAAAGTGCGCTCCCATAATAATTCCTAAAAAGCTGACATCAGTTCATCGCGATCTCACACATCTGTTATTATCAATGAATCTTTCATAATATATACACTATGTTTGTTATAATTAGAGGATTTGCCAGCATACAGAATTCAGCACTGAACAAAAAGTCCGTTTTGAGCATAGACTGTAAATAAAATAGGTTTTGAGCGGTGAGGGAAGTCTATCGTAAATGCTTCTGATTGGCCATTATTGCTTTTAAGAAATCAACACATGTCTGTGATTGGCTACATCGCTCAACGCTGCAGACATGTTAGAAATAGAAACTCTGCCTGTAAACCGTTTCTATTTTGTTTTAGTTGTTCTTATTGCTTTTCTGCAACAGATGAATAAAATGTATTCATTTTTATGTTTTATTCATAGATATTTCTAGTTTGCGGGAGTCCCGCGAATCGTTTTATTCTCCCTCAACCGGCACACACAGAGTGAGTGCATTACCGCCCGCGCTCCCTGTTATGACGTCATCACCCAGTTACGGTAAAAAACATGCTACCTTTGAAGAAACCCCAATAAATGTTATTTTAACGCATTTTAAGACAGAAATTTTTACATATATACACATTGACCACTTTAATTTACACATTAATTGGTTGTGGTGGTTAACCTGCAATTTACACTTTAAATAAATTTGTAATCTTAATAAATCTACTTGTAAGCATGCATTACTCCAAAAAACAACAACAATGATTCTGGTTAAAATAGTGTTTTTGTAGATGGCTTGAATATTGCAGAGATGTCATAATGTTGTATTGCTGTACTGTACTTCTCATGCTACTGTCTCCTTTGGATTAACTGAACTGATATCACAGTAAGCCTATCAACTTAACTTCACCAGTTTCAAGTTGTATTGGCTCTAAATGTGTGCTTCCACAGTTTTCTTTACTGGTATGATCCTCAACGGATGTTGCATACAGTGATTATAAAAGTAAGGGAATACTTTCTCAGTGAATGCGTGTTTAAACACATGTAAACCAATATTATGGCCTGAGTCTGTGAAAATGACTTTTCCCTTGTCCCAGTCGAGCTGCACCCTGATCCTCTGAATTCTCTGGCTCACCCGTAGAAGGGTCAGGATCTCTGGAGAATAGCCCTTCCCGTATTTACCATTGCAGAAGCCCACATACCACAAGCCCGTCTTGGAGGGGTTCTGTCTGAGTTTGTATGCGGACTCTGTGATCACCCCCACGGCCCAGGCAGTGCTGTCGCCCACCTCGATGTCCCAGCAGTGAGACCCTGAGTCAAAGCCCTCAGAACCAAGAATGCTTGTGTAGCCGTCAAATCTCTCCGGGTTTGCTGGAAGCTGTTGGAAGTGCTCATCAGTGTAAGTTATAGTAGTCAGATCATCCGACACGGTCAGATAAGGATGGGCGGTGTTGGGGTCAAGGGTTACTGGGGCTGGAGGGATAGAGATAAAGATGTTCACCCACTTTTAAGACACAATAATAGAACAGATGAGAAGATTTTTAATGCTTAGTACTTACTGTAACGAATGTTGGCTTGTAGTTTTTTTGACACTACATAGGTTATGTTACCCACATGTTTGGCAACATCGATGAGCATTCCTGAAGGTCTGGTTTGATCCCGCAGAGTACACTTTGTTCTGAAACAACATTTTGGAGTCAGTACTGATTGGGCTGAGAACCATAAAGGTTAAGAAAAGACATCTTCTTACCTTTCAATTGCAGTCTTGTAGTTCTAGGAATAAAGAAATGTAGATAGAAACAGAAAGATTCATTTACGTTATGTGATCAGAAAATGTACACTACCATTAGTTTGTGTGCGGTCAGATTTTTTCATTTTTAATCAAGATTTTTTGAAAGAAGGCTGCACTTATTTAATCAAAAATACAGCTACAGTTTTCAGTGTCACATGATCTTTCAGAAAACAATATATGTTGGTTTGCTGCTCAAGAAACATTTATTATTATTATCAATGTTGAAAACAGTTGCTGCTTAATATTTTTGAGGAAACCGTGATACATTTTCCTTTAGGATTATTTATTAGATGAATAGATAGTTCAAAAGAACAGAATTTATTGGAAATAGAAATATTTTGTAACATATATGTCTTTACTTTTTATCAATTTAATGCATCCTTGCAGAATAATAGCAGTAATTTCTTTCAAATTACTTTTTGTAATTTCAATTTCAATTTAATGTAATATAATGTGGAAAAAACCTTGTAGTTTTGATATAAAAGCATCATGGATCCAAGTGCTCCTTACCACTAGAAATGTGAAGTCATTCCTTCTCAGTTGATCCTCGATGGACTCAATAATATGTGAGAGAGATAACATCCCTGATGTAATCTCCTCGATCTTCTTTTTAATGATCTCACTCTTCTGCTTGTCTTCTCTCCTCAGTGCCGTCAGGCTGGCAGCTTCTTCATTTTCTAGAAACTGGTGAAGCTTTTCAAACGCCTCCTTAATTTGAGTCTCTGTGTGCTGGCTCTGCCTCTATAGGCACAAAATATCAGCACAATCAGGCTGATACAATATAAATCCATACAGTACTGTGTAAATGTTGGAATTTCCTCCCGATACTCACCTTAATGTACTCCGCTGTTTCATCCCAGGACTGTTTAAATCGTTCATAGACTCCAAGTTTCTCCAGAAAGGCCTTTAGTTTCTGCTGGAGCTCATACTAGAATTGAAATGAAATTGAAATTTGATTTCAGCTTTATATCAATTTCTGAAATACATTTGAATATATATATATATATATATATATATATATATATATATATATATATATATATATATATATATAGTTCCATTGTTGTGCTCATTTCAAATCAAGTCAAGTTGCCTTTATTTATATAGCGCTTTTTACAATACAGATTGTTTCAAAGCAGCTTTAGAGTGATAACAGGAAAATAATGCAACAAAGTTTGTTTTGGCTGTACATAGTCCAGCTTAAGTAAATTCAGTGATGGTTCATTTTTGTTGTAAAAAAAGTTATTCATTTAGTTAATTTATATATAGCCTATAGCCACTCTTGAGAAAACAGTGATGTCATCGTTTCAGCCTATAATGCTCAGATGTTTACTGTACGTGTCATTCTGTGTTAATCTGTTACATGATGATATTCCCAGCGTTGTTTACAATTGTTAAACAGGTTGTTTGTTAAAAACCCGCATATCCAAAAATGATCAGGTCTATCCAGCTTATATTTGACTTTATCAGCAAAGTTCCCACGAACCTTTGCTTTTGGTGTGTGAATGTGTGTCATATAAGGGCCATTACTATGCTAAGACCTGTTTGACAAGACAGCTTTCATTTTTCAACCGTTTCCAGTCCATTAAATCTGACACCGGCAATCAGTGCAATCTGACCACAAGCTGGACATTTTGACCAAGCATTTGACTATAGCAAAATAGCTCAAAAGAACATGATATAATCATGGACAGTAGTTCCACTTGATTGAGTAAAACCCAACAACTAACTAACTAGGTTCACTTAACTTGAATGAATGGTTTTCATTTAAATTGAATTATTCAAATAAATCCTATTTAACAGTTCTTGTTTAGTCCTGTGATATATATAACAACAAACGAAATATAACTTCTCTTTACACATGTGATGTTCAGTTATGGCAGTCAAGTGATACTGGTTTCATCCACAGCCATTGCACACTTATTAAAGCTAGGGTGACCAACAGTCCTGTTTTCCCAGGACATTTCTTGTTTTCACGTCCTGTCCTGGCTGTTTTTTATAAAGTGATGAAAATGTCCTGGTTTTCAAAAAACTGCTGGGAAAGATCAGCTCTACAGCAAAATATAGATGGGCAAAAAAGGAGGGTGAGGAAGAAAAACGGGATAAAGAGGAAGAAAACTAAAGATATAACTATATTTTGTTAGTTTGTTTTTGTAAGTTGGTGAGAGCTATTTTTGTTCAATTTGGAGGTATCTCTTTTAGTTATTTATTATTTATATATTTATTTTTCTAATACAGAAGAGACATTATTTATATCATTATTTCATTCATTATTTTTTAAACCTGTCATAATAAAACATGTTGAGTAACCTCTGAGAGATATCTGAATTTGTGTCTTGTAATATAACAATTTTCTATCCATACAGAGGAGGCATAGCCTACTTTAAATGTATTGAAATTAATAAGGCATCTTTGAGTAAACTTCGAGTATCATTTGAGTATCTGTTTGCCGGGCCGAGTGTCCTGGTTTTTGGTAATCAAAATATGGTCACCCTAATCATTATTTACAGGCCTCCAAAATACTCTCCAGCCTTTGCTGAGGACTTTACAGAACTGCTATCAACAATTTCCTCAGAGTTTGACTGTTTTGCCATTGCTGGAGATTTTAACATTCACATAGATAATGCAGAAAAAAATATGGCAAAAGAAATCAAAACTGTTTTAAAAACTTTTGATCTGACTCAGCATGTACATGGTCCCACACACAATCGTGGACACACTCTAGATTTACTTATCAGTAAGGGTTTAAACATCTCATCGATTGTTATTAAGGATGTAGCACTGTCTGATCATTTCTGTATTTTCTTTGATATATTGATCTCTCCTGCCATTGAAGCTAGACCTGTGTCTGTCAAGAAGAGATGCTTAAATGAGAACACTAGTGTGCTATTTATGAAGGCTATATCTTTAAAACCAAGCATATCTGCTGACTCTGTTGATTTTCTCCTTGATTCTTTTAACTCAAAAGTTAAAAGTGTAATTGATGTTATTGCTCCTCTGAAAGTCAGGAAGAATAGTGGTAGACAAAAAGCACCTTGAAGAAACTCAACAGCAGTGCAAAACATGAAGAGACAATGCAGAAAAGCAGAGCGCATGTGGCGGAAGACAAAACTTGTAGTGCATTATAACATCTACAAAGACAGCATCCATGCTTTTAATATGGAACTAGGCAAAGCTAGACAGACTTTCTTCTCGAATATTATAAACAGCAACTTAAACAACACACGCACTCTTTTTGCTACTGTAGAGAGACTGACAAACCCCCCAAGCCAGATTCCCAGTGAAATGCTCTCAGACAGCAAGTGCAGAAAGTTTGCTTCTTTCTTCTCTGAGAAAATCAATAATATCAGAAAAGTAATCAGCACATCCTTGAGTTGCACTGGGGTCAGACAGATCAGACCACAACTGGAGAAAGTATATTACTATGTCTGTTTTCGAAGAAATTGAAGGGAAAATTTTGGAAGAAACCGTACAGCACCTTAAAACATCAACCTGCACCCTTGACGCACTTCCCACATCTTTTTTCAAAAGTGTGTTAAACAGCTTAGAAGCAGATCTCCTAGAAGTGGTAAATGCCTCACTTCTCAGTTTTCCAAACTCCCTGAAAACTGCAGTTGTCAAGCCCCTCCTGAAAAAAAGCGCAATCTGGATAAGACCATCTTAAGCAACTATAGACCGATCTCAAATCTTCCTTTCATAGGCAAGATCATTGAAAAAGTTGTCTTCAATCAGGTGAACAAATTCTGAAGCTTGAATGGTATGGATACTTTGACAATTTTCAATCTGGTTTCCGTCTTTCCGATCGCATCATAGCACAGAGACAGCGCTCATAAAGATAATAAACGATATTCGCTTAAACTGCAGTCCGTAGCTGTTTTTGGGTTAGAATTATCCAAAATACATATTTGAGAAAATACATAACCAGTCAGTGTTCAAAACTATCTGCTTGCCGTAGCTCGATTCAAAGCGGTAAGCTTGTAATAATGTTTTTAATTCCAGTGGCAGGGCTCTCAAGTGTCACGCATTGAGTCTGACAGTCACTCATTTCGGTCTTTTGTCACGCTCTCCCGCCACACATTGTATTTCTCACGCTGAAAAACTATTTGTAATATATTTAATATGCCGCAGCGGCCAAAACTCTGGCCGCGCCGCTCTCACTGTGGAACCGGCATGAATCAAGCGCGTTTCCTCTGGTGTTGTTCGTCGAGCTACACAATAGCCAATCAGAAAATAGCACTATTGTATCTGGGTAAGATTTAACGCAACAACCAATGACAAAAATGTATCCAACCCCTTATAAGCGATTGTTAGATTTAATCAGCGCGATTTACTGCAATGTTAGAACCAGAACAAAAGTGGATGTTGCGTACTAGTTCAGATTACATTTTCCGGTGAAAATTATTATGTTGGTCATACTTCCAAAAAGAATAATCTGTGATTCTGAATGCCAGTATCCACACCATAGACTGCAAAAAATTATCCACACCGGTGCTGTGACTGACAGCCTCACCGTCTCCTCAAACAATGTGTTCATCCGCGCTGTGCTGTGTCGAGGGTGTTGAAGTACAACTCACGTAAAGTTGATAATTCTGCGAATGACTGCAATTGCAGATTTCGAACAGAGATGGCGACAAAGAGGAAAAACGCCGGACTGCAGCTTTAAATACTGATACAGGCAAATTATCAGTACTTGTACTACTCGACCTCAGTGCTGCATTTGACACTGTCGATCACAACATACTTCTTGACAGGCAAACTGGAAAACTGGGTGGGGCTTTCTGGGATAGTCCTAAAATGGTTCAGGTCATACTTAGAAGGGAGAGGTTATTATGTGAGTATAGGAGACCATAAGTCTGAGTGGACATCCATGACTTGCGGAGTCCCTCAAGGCTCAATTCTTGCGCCACTCCTGTTCAACCTGTATATGCTCCCAATGAGCCAAATGAGAAAGAACCAAATTGCTTACCACAGCTATGCAGACGACACACAGCTCTACTTAGCCCTATCGCCTAACGACTACAGCCCCATTGACTCCCTGTGCCAATGCATTGATGAAGTAAACAGTTGGATGTGCCAAAACTTTCTTCAGTTAAACAAAGACAAAACTGAAGTCATTGCGTTTGGAAACAAAGATGAAGTTGTCAAGGTGAATGCATACCTTGACGCTAGGGGTCTAACAACTAAAAATCAAGTCAGGAATCTTGGTGTGTCTCTAGAGTCAGACCTTAGGGTGTATTCACACCTGCCTTGTTTGGTTCGATTGAATCGAACTCTAGTTCGTTTCCCCCCTTGGTGCGGACCTTTTGGGCAGGTGTGAATACAGCAATCGAACTCGGGTGCGGACCAAACAACCGAACCGAGACCCAGCTGAAGAGGTGGTCTCGGTACGGTTCCAAACGAACTCTGGTACGGTTCGTTTATGGTGTGAACATGAACCGACCCAATTGCAAGAAAGCACTGCGCCTTTGAGTTAACAGGCTTCCGTAGTCGGAGATTTTGGCATAATAGTTTGTGTTGTTGTTCAAGTGCGAAAGAGAATTCCATTCCGGCGCGCTGTCTGGCCACACGATACTGTTGCACGTCTTTCTGCGCGTCGTGTGTGCATCATTGGAATGGAATGAATGAATGAGTGTGTGCATCAGGACATTCACATACAGAGCGTTCTCTTTAGTCTAATCACGCATAGATGCAAAAAAAGCTTTTGCAGTTCATATAATGTAACGATAGTTACAATACAAGGATGATGCTGTGTTAAACTGGACAAACTTAATCGCAAGCGTTAACATTGACAGCACTTGTTAGCAGTATATACAATAAGAATCTCATTATTTGAATGTGTAAACAGCCCCTCTCTAAGAATGAAAACTTTATACCTTATCCGTCTTCTGCGCAGTTTCTTCATATTGCGTTTGCACAGAATAACACAAA